GGAACAGCTCTCTTTCTTTTTTCTTCTATGTATGCCTCAATGGATATGTCTTTTGAGTACGTTGGAGAACTTATTGAGAAACGCTGAGAAACTTGCTACCAGGCTCTGAAAAAAATTTGGCCGGGAGGGATTTTTTTGAGAACATAGTTTTTAAGTGAGTTTCGGGAGAAAGAGGAAGGGATAGTAGGCTGATGGCAGTGATTTACCAAATGTTCATGCGAGCACAGTGAATGTCTATTTGTTGTTTCGCCCACTCCATTGTAAAGTTAGGAAGTTCTTAGTTCAGGAGTTTTTGCCTTTGTCACAAGAAAAGGCACCTTCAGAAGTCATTTGTTTGGGTTCATCACGTTCGAGGTGGGCTGATGGTCAGAAAAGTCACGTATCATTCAGAAACCAACTCGACACAGTCCTGTCCTGACAGTCCTTCTGATCAGAAAGTCAAGTGACCCTTGTATTTTTCTCCCAAGCTAGTTATACAGTCAAATTTTCCGTTTCTATTCTCCTCGCTAGGGAAATCATGTTGAGGCGAAATTCTGGTAGTTAACTATGAACTTCATTTTTCTTCGGTCATAAACTATAAATTCAATTTCTCTACTTCGCTATTCCATAAAGGGCATTAATCCTCAAAAACTCATCTATTTCTCATCATTCAATATCTGATTTCTATTGCCATATACCATAGATTAGGCCATAAAATTTTTCCTATTGGCCTGAAAAACTGCTGACTCGGCATTGGAAGAATTCTCGAAGACTTTTTCGCCAAGCGTTCAAATAAAAGACCAATACTCCAAATATCTAGACAGTTTTATTAGCATGTCATACCACTTTATCTGTCTCTTTTTTGAATTTTGAATCGACCCTAGCTTTGCCCTATCATTTCTCTTTCCATTCCCCAGCCCGTTTTGAATCTTCATCTCTCCTCCCCATCGACTTTCCAGCCTCTTTAAGTCACAGCTTTCGATAAAGANTCTATTTCTCATCATTCAATATCTGATTTCTATTGCCATATACCATAGATTAGGCCATAAAATTTTTCCCATTGGCCTGAAAAACTGCTGACTAGGCATTGGAAGAATTCTCGAAGACTTTTTCGCCAAGCGTTCAAATAAAAGACCAATACTCCAAATATCTAGACAGTTTTATTAGCATGTCATACCACTTTATCTGTCTCTTTTTTGAATTTTTAATCGACCCTGCTTTGTCCTATCATTACTCTTTCCATTCCCCAGCCCGTTTTGAATCTTCATCTCTCCTCCCCATCGACTTTCCAGCCTCTTTAAGTCACAGCTTTCGATAAAGAAGGTCTCTTACATTTCTCTTTCTGGGGTAGACCTGTGACACCCAAGGATAGCGGAAATGGCGTTTTCTGGCCGAAAAATGTTCTTCAAAGACCGTAATACGAACCTCATAGAAGTTTAGCCGGCGCACACACCTAGAAGCGGACGAGTTTTCACGTCGTTGTAGAGGTTGTAGAGTTGCACCGTTCGCACCGCTACGATCATGTTACGCGCAGGCAGCTTACGCTGGTCAGCCGTACGCAATGGCACACACATTTGGACAGCTCGTCCAAATGACCCTCCCATGTAAAAATTAGGGATTGGACGAGATTGTGACGACCAACTTTTGTCGTCACAATCTCATCCAATCCCTAATTTTGCTACTTTTTTATGCCTCATATTCCTCTGAATAGGGCGATTTTTGCTTTTTCTTCCCCACTTTTGCCCTGTTCTGACCTATCACTGCCATTATTCGTCTAAAACTTGCTAGGTGGATCGGAATTGAGAGAGCTGTGCTTTTAAGCGATCTCTGTTCTTTTAAACTATTGCATCACATTGAAGAAACTAGCTCGATGAACCCCGGATAATAGAAAAAAATAAAAAAATAAGCTTCATGTTTGTTACTGTTTATCATGGTGGCTGTCATTATCACAATGCACTTTTGTAGTAATTAACGTTGCCCTATATGTGTTGCTTTTTGTTTTACAAATTTTGCACCCACTTGTACTTTAGAGAACTGTGAATTCCTTAGTTCAATCTCCATGATACCCCTAAATTGACACAACAAACAGCTTGTAAATTAATGGTGTTCCCTAAAAGTACATGGGGCAAATAACAGCCCCCACATCATTAGCGATGTTTGGTTCATTTTCATACGTCCGGGTTGGTGTTGTTCTGTCGAGTAATCCGTAGCGGTAGGCCGAATTTAATGATGAGCCTTTATATAGGCATATGAATGGTTCAAAAGTCTCATTTCTAAATGATTTACGGTCTATATGACTATGTTGGTAGAAACTTTTCGTCTGTTTTTAGCTGTTCTGAAGCTATTCCCATATTTTCTTCCTTTTTGTATTCCGCTAAGTAACATTTTAGTTGATATGTTGAATTAATTATTCTTACCAGTGTAATGATCTTTCGAAAACCATTTCCTTCTACATCTTGCAGAAGTTTCATGGCTCCTCAACAGTTTCCTTTCCTAATTTAATTCAAATGCATGGCGTATTATCTCAGAGGACCGAACTTAAATCAGTTCCAACGCAGTGAACCTTTGATTCCTCAGGTTCTGCCCGTCATACCAGTCAGCTGAACGGTTCTATCATATACCTGACATTCCATAGATTTCTCAGTAAACTGTGTAATAACTAGAAATAGGTCATCATCAAGGACTTTGCCGTGAATGGGAGTTTTGGCTATGGCTTTTTTCCACGATGAATGAATCATTCATTTCCTTTCGTTGACCAAACCCTTCTTTCTATTTATTCAATCATACATCTGCTTGAACAGTGCTCAGTTTGCTTGAGTTAATCGAATACTTTCTTGTAGCTGTGTAATCGCTAATGAGGTCAAGTGATCTGTACTTACTCAACCTGTTACGGCGGTTTCTTTATTTATTTTTCTAATGAATCAGAGCGGAGGTTATGTAGAGGCAAATGGTGCATATGGCACATCCAGGGTCACTGGTTCGAATCCAGGATCAATATCACCAAGTCTTACACCCCTTTGGGGTCAGTTAATTGGTACCACACTCGTCTGGTGGGATAAAAGCACTGAGTTGCACATCAACCACGAGTCGTTGTATAGGGCACATACGCATTCATACGCCACTGTGATTCCGAGTGGAAGTCGAATGCGTGGGCGCAACCCCCAGACGGGATTGTTCAACGCCTCAAGACTTATCTTTTTATCCTTCAATGAATTAACAGTAAATAACTCACCCTAATGAAGTACTGCTGTTTCTTAGTGTGGTGCCCGGGGTGACAGAGGGAAACAGGTCAGATTCGGTTGTCCACGATGAAGTTCCCCTACAGGGGTGCTGTCTAGAAGTCAGGCTCTTCTATTTATTCACGATATGATACCATCAACCGATAACAGGTAGTATCCGACGATATGCTGTAATGGAATGGGTTTTCCTTACAGAATACTGTACGGATTAGTTCTCGGAATAAGAAACGGTAGATTATGATAGGAGTGTTGCCCTTTGAAAGTTGTCAGTTGGGATAACTCCTTTTATAGGTTTACCCGTCACCGTTTCCCCTCTCCATCTGTTCCGGATCAGGAAACTTACTTCTTTTTCTGTTTTTTTTNTTTTTTTTACCGTCCTCCCGTACTCTCACTTGTAAGTGTTCTTTCGAAATGCTTGTTTTCGTCTCAAGGATTTTGACAATGCTGCAGACAGGCAGCCATTGTATGAGGTTTGCAGTATGCCGTAATGTATACCCATACATTCTCTCTCTGGAGTGCGCCACATATCCATCCATCTTCCATTTGTTCCATTCGTGCGGAGAGTGCCTGCCAAGAATTTATTCCTCCCAATTTCTCTCGGAGTTTCTTGGGACTTCTAGGTGCTCGGGAGAACTGCGGACTAATGTGGAATATCCGGCAGGTACCTTCCGGACAATCCAATCGTTGAGATTTTGGAATGTCTTTCGGGAATACACAACTGCATATTGAGTCTTATGTTGCAATTCATGAAAAGCATGGCTGATATATGTCAGTATAGACTTTTTTATTTTGATAATTCCCTCATTGGGATCACAATGTTCCCCATTTGGGTATGATTTCTGTCGCCTAACCTAGTAGAAGTTATGCATTTGTTTTTGTTTTTCTTTGTGGCACACTGCCGTCGAATAAAGTGACGTGCTTAGGAACGGAATGAGCGCTAAGTCACCTTTGTCGAGTAAAACTGTAGAACGTATTCGTTTTTGTCTTTATTCTCTATAGTTTCTACAAAAAGGGTGATGTATGGCAAGCATTTTTTTCTCGACTTCATTTAATGCCGTTCGCTGAACCGTGTGTACATGCATGGCACGAAGAAAGAAATTTTTCAGCCTGAGCGTAACCTCTGATCGGAGTTCTTCACGTCATAATCGGTCTCCACACATTCTATCCCACCAATTATTTGTGGTAGGCTGTGATACTTCCTGATTTGTACTGGTTTGGAAATGTTTTTTTTTTTGAAGTGATAGGAGGGAAAATGAGGGTGATGCCTTTTTTGCGTGGTGGATTATTCAGCTGGTAGTGGCACTTTTGCACTAGCGGCGAAGTTGTGTTCTGTATATTTACCTCTATGGGAACCTGAAGCAAATTCACTTGGTCCTAATCCAGGAGAGGTGAGGCGATCAACGAATTGAAGTGCGACTCGCTGCTCAGGAAATGAAGCTCTTGCTTGTGGACCCAACTTTCTATCCCTCCCTGGTCTCTATATAAGGGCTTTACAAATTATATTACAATTTGAGTGGCAACTTCTGCAGTTGGTATTTCTGGGGCACCCTCCCCTTCGGTCTTTCCCTCAATCAAAACGCTAATAGAAAGCTGCCACTATTTTGAATAAAGGTCAAAAGCATGGCGCACTCGACGCAGAGAGATTTATCACAGAATTATCACGACACAGTCAAGATGTCCTTTAGCTTCTATTTCTTGTTTGAGTAACTTTGATATGTAAAGGATAAATGGGATCGATTTACAAATCAGTTTGATCGTTCGAATACCTTCAGAATTCGTTAGATGAGTGTCGCGCCAGTGACCCGCGAGCCGCTCCATCTTCGAGTGAACGAGGTTCCATCATGGTCAGAGGCAATTATGTTCGGATTTCAGGTTCGCTTCACTTTTTCACTAGTTGCAGAACAAAGTTTTCTTACTATCTCGTAGATCAGACTTTGTTTACACAAATTCTGTTTACTGATTCCAACTGAAATTTTCATAAATGTAACCCGATCTACATATTCCGTTGAGCATATTTGGGGTGTGGTTGCATACATGTACATCTCCCTGTTACAAAATTCATGACTCCCTTCGATTTGTCAAAAGTACATCCTAGAGGAAGGTGACGATAGGGACTTCTGAAACCAATAAATTCCATAAATTTTTGGAACAGTAACGATCAAACCTACGTCCACTACTGATATCCCTTGGTCTTTCTTGAATTTTTAAGGAAGTTATGGGATAAGCTGCCTAGCACTTATTCGCTGTCCTTACGCAGTTTGCACACTATCCATCCATTTTCTGGGACTGAGTCTATTCAATTTTGAGTGGGAGTCAAGTGCAGGCGTATCCCTCAACGAGATTGCTGAAAGAGTTCACCTTCAATTCTTATATTTATCGGACCTATTCGTTTTCAGCAGGCAATGCTGTGCCTTTCTGGACTACTCGTCTACCCATTCCTCGTTTCCGAAATTGTATGCGCCGGTGACGCTACCGTACAGCTGCGAGTACAGTTAATAGCAGCAACTTTTGTCAGCTGTGGCATCGCTACCATAATCCAGACCACTTTCGGATTACGGTAGATTTCCTTAGCTTTTCTGCTCTTCCAGGGTGTTTTTTTCCAGCCATTCGCTTTGATCATCAAGAATACGCTTCAAAAAACTGAAACGGAGGCTTCTTGCAGGTTATGCGTCCTACATGGTCCAGCTATGGCATTTCTTCCTCCATTATTGGCCTATAAGGCACTTCGAGCAAGTGAATGCCCATATACCGAGAAAGACTATGTGGACACGGAAATTTGGCATGAACGAATTCAGGAGGTAGTAGTTTACAAAACTTTTTTCAAGGAAAAGGCGAATATTTCATATTCCAGATCTCTGGGAGTCTATTCATCGCATGCATCACGTTTCTGGTCATTGGAGGCACGGGATTGGCTGGAGCATTGGCGAGGTTGATTGGTCCAATTACTATCGTGCCACTGATGATTCTTCTGACCACCAGTATTGTGCCGACCATCGAAGTCAAGCTATCTCTTCATTGGATCTCACTTGTGTAAGTCATGTCTCTTTCTCACTTTTCAAGCCACTGAACGGGAATTCATTGGCAGCAATGGGTGAGATAATTATTTCTGGATTATACGAAAGATGATAATTTGGCTTGATCGAACAGTGCTAGTCGGTGTTCGTACAGCACACGGGAGTGGCCCGGGGTCAAATTTTTGATTGAGACCTCCCAGAACGGCCACCCAGAAGACTATCGTGTTTGGGTTTAAGATCACGGTCTGGGAGTAACTTAGGCGCTCCATAATACAACCTCGCAACCTCAATGAATTACCGTGGGCAACCGATGTAGCAAGTAGCAAGTGGGAACTTTTGTCCCTCAAGACGAGTCCGATACCAACTAGTCAGCCTTGAGGGGTCGGCTTGGACAAGCACCTATTTGGAGATCGACCCCCGGACCATACGTGTAATAATGCTTGCTCCTTGCCACTACATCGCGAAGTTGAGAAGAAAACTTCCTTATACGGTTAACAAACCTGGAACAAAGATTGGTTCCATTGATGTTCATCGAATGAAGTTAAAGATCTAAAACACACAACTATTCGCAAGAAGAAGACTCGAACAGTCTTCGATAGCTCAGTGGCTATGTGTTTAGATTTGCACACGATCGCTCAACAGATCGGTCCTCGCGCCATACATACCCGCTCCGGCTACCGATAATGTAGATCGCAGAGCGTGAATATGGCGTAGAACAAAGTGAATCCTCGAAAGCGCCTTCGGGAACCACGTTCTCGGTGGACATTAGTGGATTCCACATTTATTTATGGTTTTTCTGTATCCGTCTGGTTATCTTCCTTAAACTTTCTCGTTCGTTCGTCCAATAAGAGCTTTCACACTGAGATAACTGAATTTTGAAAGACGAGCTGAACCAACTTCTTCTCTTTATCTTCTTCAGCGATTGCCCCGCTTAGGAGTGGGGTCCGCTTTTCTGGTCCACTGACGCCACATCTCGAGACTGAGTGCTTGCCCGGGATGAAGAGCATCTGACTTTGAATTCTACGCAAGGTATCAAGAGAGCGCTGTTTTGGACGTCCCTGAGGCCGTTTTAAGGATAATTCGATGCTGGGGTCGGTCTTATAAACTGCCTTTGTCCGCGCGTCGGGCATGTTCGTACCATCTAAACCTAGCTCCGACATAACATCAGCAATAGGGCTATCCCAGAACGTTCCCTTATTGCACGTTACTTATATGGTTCGAACGCATTTCCCTCGTCGGACGCAGCATTTTCGTTTCCATCGCTCCGCGCGGTGCTTCAGTTTCTTTCTTTCTTCGTAGATCAGCCCCCCGCCCGCCAGGTGGTTACTGGTCGTACGACACTTCTATAAATCTTTCATTTAAAGAGATCAGAGCCGGTCCTAGAATATCCGTGAATCTCCTACTTCCGGAAGAAATACCACACCAACACAATAAGTTGTTCGCTAAACAAACTGGATGTTAAATGTAATATTATCGTGATGCTCCTTGAGGTCAAATGCTCTTTTATGTAAATTGTATCAGGAAATCACTGTTCAACACAAATAATCAATCAATCAAATAGAATAGAAGACGACAAAGCTGGTTCCTATTGAGCACAAAAAATAGCGGTTCATGACAAACAATCTTCAGTGTAAGGGCAATCGTAGACGGCTGTTGGTCGAGAGCGCAGTGGTTAACGCGCTAGCTTCATGTGCGCACGATGAAAGGTCGGCTCCACCGCCATATGATACCCTCTCGGAGAGCCCTGTGATTGGCTCCGAGTGCCGAAAATGGCGTAGAACGATGGCGATCCTGAACTTCCGTTCGAAGCCAATGTATTCGATACGGACATGCTACGATCCAACATTTTAGCTTCTAATTATTGAAAATTACTTTGGTTTTTGATTAAAATTTTCCAAAAATTCTGAATTATAATAAAACCCTCCGGACAGAAACGGCCTGCTTTTTAAGCACTGCTTATTTCATTCCACTGAATAGAAAAAAAGCATTTCGGGAAAGAAATTATGGTTGCATGTTACAAGCAATGGGTCATAAAGTCCAACGACGTACTCAAAAAAAAACTGCTCTGTGATGTCAATAGTCAAACCTTTCCTGAAGAATTAAGCTATGTATGCAGCCTTTTTCGTTTCTCAGCTGACAGTAGCGCTTTTTGACATCAAATAATATCCAAACCGGAAGCAGATTACGCTAAAGAACGGTACTATCGATTTGACTGCATTATGCGACGCGACCGCACGCGGAGTTGCTAAAGATAACAGCCGACACGGTTCCCTGAGCTTGCTTTCCTTAAATTTTTCTTATTACAATTTTTTTCCTCAATTTTTGTCATCGCGAATTGGCTGTTTGGCTTAAATGAAGTTCTTACTTACAGTATGCTCGTCAGTGTCGTAGCGATGGCTGTGTATCTGGAAGAAGTCCGTATACCGGTTATTTACTATTCATTCAAGAAGAAACGAACCATCACAACCAGAATAAGACTTTTTGGACAGTTTCCAGTGAGTTTGATCTATTCCTCGAATAAATTTACATTTGAAACCCACCCTGATAACAATAATGGGAACTGTCGACATATCGACTGATAGGTATAGCCTCAACTGTGAGCCATAAGTACTCTACCCAAATCAGTTTTCACTAATTCGTAAAAAATTAAAAGTTCTTGCTTTCGAAGCGGAAGTGAAGACAGCTATTGGGAGAGGGTAAGAAAAGGGGGTACACAGCATCTGAATTCTCCCCTAGTAAGCTAGCGGTTACTAACAAAATCTTGAAAGTACTGGGCTGGTCCGCTACGCTATGGCTGCCCACTATGGGAGCTTACCGTTTTGAATCGAAAAAATGGTATTCACCTTTAGAGATTCTGATTTTACTACCGTTTTTCAGTATCTACTTAGTATTCTACTGGTATGGTTCGTTTGCTATCTGATGACAATCACTGACTTCGAGCCTGTTGGTGGTCAAGCTCGTACCGATAAAAATGTGACGATGGTGGTTCTTAGGGAGTCGCCATGGTTTCAGGTGCCTTTACCCGGTACGTCCAAAGCATTCATTCATTTTTGAGAGAGGAACGACTCACACAAGTGATTTCAAGTGTAGTGTAGTTCTTGTTGAGGTCAATTCGGTATGCCCAAATGGAGTATGGGACTGTGTTTGGGATATGTGGCATCATGTATGTCGAGTGTCATCGAGAATATCGGCGCTTACGACCTTTTGGCTCGAGTCTCACAACAGAAAGCGCCTCCGAAGAACGCCATTAATCGAGCTATAATGGTCGAAGGTGAGCGAAGCCCCGATTTTCCTCCATTTTTCCCTCAGACCCTCAACTGTCAAAACTTCTGGGCCGAACTGCGAGTTGTAGTGCCGGCTCAAGGTAACCTACCTGGTCCCGGAGCACATTTATCAGGGAAACCACTTTGTTGAGATTTATTTTAGAAACAATTGTTCATATCTCTTCTTAGGCATAAATCCTTTATTTTTTAGGTTTGGGCAGTATGTTCGCATCAGTGATGGGTGTAGGTACCGGTGTCACCACCTATGCGGAGAATATTGCCTTAATCCATGTCACCAAGGTCAGTTTTTCGAAGATTTCTGAGCCAACCTGAAGAGTGAATTTCAGGTTGCCAGTCGGACGACGATGCAAATCGCTGGTGTTCTACTCATTCTCTTGGGTCTCTTTACTAAAATGGCTGCCTTATTAGCATCAATGCCAGACGCTTTAGTCGGCGGTGTGCTTATGATGGGAATATCGATGATAGCTGGTGTGGCGATGAGTAATCTGAAGGTACTACTTTGTCTTGGGATTCTAAGAGAGAGTGACGATAAATAGGGTGGAGCGTAGTGGGCTGAGGTGGTCCTTACCAGTGGTGATCGCTCTCCCAATGAAAGGGCCGCTGGACTTTGCTCAGCTTTTTCTTACCATGTGATCGCCAGCCGAATTCCTTGAGGGCATTCTAATCCGTCTCAGTACCCATTACTCAATGGAATAGTAGCCGATTAGGTTCTTCGAAAAGCGATGCAACGTCCGTCGGAGTGTGTTTGCGTGATGAAAATTGAGGAGTCTACCGCCTCAAATGAGTTCATCACTGAGCGATACCATCCCTTCATCTTCTCTTCAACAGGGAGTGGGCAAATTGAGTTGGTTATGCAAGTAGCACCTCTTTTCTAGTTTTAAGTCTGGAGTGTGAAAACCCTTTGGGCACCTCTAAAGTGGGGCAGGAGTCGTTTTAGCGCGAACGGTGCCTCGGTGCATTTCTTCGGCCCCTCTCTTTAACAGATCACCATCAACCGAACAGTATGAGATACGTCACGGATAGACGGAATAGGGGAAGGTAATGCTGGCCCAGCAATCTGATAATTTCGTCTGATCAGTTTTGGTTACCTTGCGCCATGCAATGTACTTCTTTGTGTGCTCTCTTGACGAGGGGTTCCGGCAGTGGACCAGCATGATGTAGGAAACACGCATGAGGTAGGGTTATGGAACAGCATTCAAGTCCGTTTGCTTGCTATAGAAGCTCGACCGATTGGAATTGGAAGAGCACCCGGAAAGGGATGGCTCAATGGAAAGATTGAGTTCTATGGAAAATCTTATATGTTGTGCAGAGTGTGGGAGTCGAAGAAAAATCTGGGAACGCGCTTAAAAGCTAGGGTTTAGAAAAGCTGAAAAATGGAAAATTGGGCGAAAAAAGCAGAATTTGATTGAGAAATAGCTAAAAGTTTGTTTAGAAAAAGCTCTGCTTCATAACATATAAGCCTAAGATGTCTAGTTACTCAAGTGACAGTTGTTCGTGGAAAAGCACGAAAAGCCGAATTTCAAAGTCAGCTCTGAATTCAAGCTTCAGTCATTTGATGAACGACACGGTTTGTTCTAGAAGACAGAGCTAGGATTCGATTCCTTTGGAGGCTTACGCTTTACAACACACATTTACATCAGTCACAGCAGCACACACCCTGATCTACTCTTCAGTGATCGGTTCCGTTCGATACCCGGTGCCCTTCACCATCGACCTCTCTCCTGCCTCCCCTTCCCCTGAGGCAATTTCTGCTCTCCTGTCCTCTCTCACTTAATGAGTTTTACCAGTAGTAGAACAGCAACAAGTACGGTACTCATAACGGGTGGGCGCAGTTGAGGACCTCGGCTCGACAGCCGAGTCCACACTCCATATTACTGGACTCAGCCGCAGAGTCGAGGCTCCGCCCACCTGAGCAGCACCTAACACCATGCCCTACGTCCAGATTGGTCCGCATTGTAAAAGCTCGGCTAGCATTTTTAATTCGAGCGTCGTGGGTGTGTGCCAGCACCGCAACGCCTTTTTTGCATCCCTTGAGAGATGCCTCTGTGTACAGAGACCTCTCCCTTTTTTTGAAAAAACTTTTGCCCAATGCCGATAAGCTTGAAATTGGAGACTCA